ACAACCAAAAAACCCCCCATTCGACCCAGTCTAAACCTTGGGAAATCTAACAGGGTCTGCATCTCTTTAAAAACTATACACAGACATTTCTGGTCGAAGTGAAACCATGCTTCTCACAGAGGACTGGAGACAGCAAATGAAGCTTTAGTCATACACAGTTAGTTTCAAACTTATGTTACCGCTCACGGGGAGAAATCAATGTACAGTATATTAAAAACAATCACTGTGGCCCTTCAATGATCCAATAGTTGAGCTTTGAATGCATTCGAGCTAATGGGGGCTCTAATGGCTTCTGACAGATCATTCCATTGATCAAGAGGCATGTATGAAATACGGTGCCTACTAAACTCTGTTTTGATTTTGAGAAAAGAAAACTAAACGTCCATGGTAAACAGGGCTTTGATTGTTCACATGTTCACCAAGGGGCCGCTCAGCCTGACCCTGGTCGGGAGCCGCGGAGGGAGGGACAATGGGAATCCTATATACCTGGCCTGCTTTTCCCCGACTCTAATCAAGGCGTAATCAACTGGAAATCTCTGTCTGAAGCATTGGGGTGGGGGGGGGTGCGGGGGGCAGGGGTGACCAGAGGTCCAGTTTTCTGTGTTGGATGAGTTACGAGCGGTCTCTTGAGCCACTCTGAGAAATTGACTCAGCCCTTCCGGGGGGCTCTGGGGTTGCTAGGTTAACTGCACATGGTCTAAAACGAAGAATGGGATTCCCTGTTTGGAGGGATGAGTGAGGGTTTTCAGCAGGGAGATGACAGTTTTCCCAAGAAACTAACTAAAGCGTGTTCCCTTCACCTGGGGGTGCCCCAGTACTGAGCACACTTATCTGCGGGTACAGGGATTTTGGCAGGGGGCATGAGGTCTGAAACAGATTTTTTTAAAAACGTAGACTCCATGCTGCATGTGGAGCCTAACGTGGGGCTTGAACTCACGACCCTGAGATCCAGACCCGAGCTGAGACCAAGAGTTGGATGCTTAACCCACTGGGCCACCCAGGTGCCCCAGGGTCTGAAAAAAATTTCGAAAGTTCTTGGAGACTATTGTCACGCAGAAGGCCACTCCAGTGCCCCCTGGTCTAGCTGCTTGTGTGTGTGGGGGTGGGGTGGGGGGGTGAGGTGTTCAACTGTGAGCCATACGCTGCTCCCAGGTTACACGGGCCTTGCCCTAGTAGGGCTGATGAAAACACACACCAGTGCTTCCATTGCCCACCCGAATCCTACTGGTCTCACAAAATAATCATAATCTTGCTTCCTTGCATGGGCACCGGGCCTCAGCATCTACAAGCCCTTCCATTGCTGTCTCCGTGGGGGGGCACCGGGGGGTGCTGGAATTCTCCCGTGGGGTTTCTTTCCACAGCAGACCCTCCCCTTGTCCCAGGAGCTGGGAAGGGCAGGCGGGATGCCCTTGAAACTGGCGCCACCAAGGGCAGGCTAATCCCTGGTCTTTATTTCATCTTTAATATCTAGCAAGACTGCGGAGGTGCTTCCTGCGGACAGTCACTCACTCAGCAGGTCAACTTGCTCTAAGCACACGCGGTCCGGTCCGGAAGCCCTGTGCTTTTCCTAAACTTCCTGTAGAACGGCCTTGACCTTCCTGTGCGTGGGGCACAGAGCTGACCTAGGCCAGCGCTTCCCATCTCGCAGCAGGAAGCTGCCCCACTTACCAGATTAAAAGCAACAGGAAAACCCTTGTGCTAGAAGCACTTCATTTGTATTGGTGCCATGTTTAGTCAGTGGCTTTTGTAAAATTGATGAATTTTGTCTAAAGGCAAGTGCAGACAGGCAAACAGATCTGTATCTGCTGTTATCCATTTAGCTTGACACACATGTGCAGAAGAACTATTTTACCTCGATTCTTTCAGGACTGATGAAAAGTAAATGCAAGCAAAGTCATGAACTGCATCATTGGAAAAGAATCACGGAATCTAATGCTGGAAGTTAATTAATGCTTCCCTCCCCTTGAAATAGACTGACCCTGGTGCTCAGACATTCAGAGTCAATAAACAATTGTTGTACACAGATCATCCATTAGAAGGTGATGGCAAGAATTTTTTTAAGCAAATCTAAAATTGCAGCGGGTGACCTAATCCCACTGGAGGAAAGGCAAGAGTGAAGAATCATTTTTCATAGGATCTCATTTATAAGAAGTTCCATGCCATCTGCCTAGAAAAAAATGGAAGCTGGGAGGTGCAAACGGGGAAATATAAATGGTAACGTGTTATTCTGGCACTAAGTACGAGACACGATGTGACTCACTTAATGGGCAGGATCCTGGGGACGGAACAATCCAGTGAGCTAGGCATTACTGTCCTCCCTGTTATATAAACAAAGACTGGCGGGCAGCCCGGGGGGCTCAGCGGTTTAGTGCGGCCTTCAGTCCAGGGTGTGATCCTGGAGACCCTGGATCAAGTCCCACATCGGGCTCCCTGCATGGAGCCTGCTTCTCCCTCTACCTGTGTCTCTGCCTCTCTCTGTGTGGGTCTCTCATGAATAAATAAAATCTTTTAAAGAAAAAAACCAAAAACAAAGACTGGGGCCCAGGCAGGTCAAGTGATTTGCCCAAGTCCCAAAGCTACCACGGTTATCAGAGGATAATAAACATTATAGCTCATAGACCTGCTCTCAAGACGTGCTACGACAGGCACTGCTGCAGGCATTTTATATGCACAGTATTTTTTTTTAAAGATTTTATTCATTTATTTGAGACAGCAAGAGAGAGAACAGCAGTGGGTGGGGGACAGAGGCAGAGGGAGAAGCAGAATCCTCACTGAGCAGGGAGCCTGACCCGGGGCTTGATCCCAGGACCCCAGATCACGACTTGAGCCGAAGGCAGATGCTAACCGCCTGAGGCACCCAGGCGCCCCGCCCCCATGCACCGTATTGAATCTGCACAAGGACCTTAGGTGGTAGATCCATTACTATGATCCCCATTTTGTAGACAAGAAAACAAAGGCTTAAAAGGACGGCAGCCTTCGGGTCAGGCATCGGACCCGGAGTCAAAGTGGGGAAGCCCGCCGCCAGAAGCTTCTTACTGCCATCCAAGAGTCAGAAGGAAAGCTGGTCAATGGGAACAGGATAAATGGAAGGAGGTGCAGAGGGGCCTAGTTTTCAACTGTGGGACAGGGATCTGCGCAGGTTATCTGGAAGGACGTCTTGCCTCTAAATGGTTCAGATCGCAGAGGAACTGGGCCCGTCCTGTGCGAACAGGGGGGCCCGGGGACGGAGGGCCGCGCTGCCAGGGGGGCCGGGCTGCAGCACCCGCGGGGCTGGCCATGTGCTTCCTCCTTACTGGTAGGAGACCACCCAGAGGCCGAGCCTGCAGACCCCTGCGTGGAGTCCCCAGCCGCTCTGGGAATGTGTATCGGGGTCTCTCAGGTGAGCATGAGAGTCGGTGTCTCCTTTTCCGACGGCACTGAGGCCTGCCGCAGGTGCCCCTGTCCCGCAGGAAGCTGTGACCTGCACCTCCCCCCTCCCCCCTGGCCCCTCGCCCCCCAGGCCCTAAAGCAGCCCAGTTCTCCTGCAGCCGCCGTCAGTACAACACACTCCTGGGCCTTTCCTCCCCCTTTATGGCTGTCAAATTGATTTCACCATCGTGGTACCTATGGCTCTCGATGAGACTTAATTAAAAATACCATTTAATCACAAAGTGACAAAGGCAAACTGGATAAATGGCATTACCACATCAGCACATCCTGATCCGCTCTCTCCTCTCCTTCTCAATCTGTTTGGAGGAGAATTGCCTTTTCAAATAAGAATCCCCCTGTCTTCTGTGCACTTGCCTCTGACAGATCTCCAAAATAAACAGTATTTAGCATGGCATGGATCCAAATGTATGCAATTTGCCCAGTGGTAAAATCAGCCTTAACTAGAGCAGAGGAAAAAAAAACAAAACAAAACCCACAACAGTTGCATTCGAAAATACCTTCCCCTGAAACACACAGAAACTGTTCTGCTGAATGTGGGGTGTCTATTAAATAGGGCCTATGGAATCTCATTTCCAGCATCCCTCGATTCAGTTGGTGATGGATTTAGCAGCTTATTACTAAAATTGTGTCACAGGTGATGCCATGACCCCACTCTTCTCTGCCTCGCGAGCTCCCCTGACTGGGAGGCTGGGGTGGCAGGAGAGGCAGTCCCCACCCCCTCAGTGCAGGAGTGGCTTGTTGCTAGGTGGCAGGGTGGAGCAACCCCCGTAATTGCACTTGGAGGGCCCCTCAGGACAGCTTCCCCATCTCAAGGTCTGAGCCACCCTCTGTCAATCCCCAGTGGGTCCCCTTCCTGGGACGTACGACCATGTGAAACCATCGTGTTGTTGATCTGCAGGTATGCTGTACGTCCCCCCACTATTTCGGTCACTGTGTATCACTCGCCCTCAGCACGGGGCTGGCACAGGGGAGCCCTTGGATGCCCGGGGTTCACAGGAGCCGCTGAGCCATGGTAGGTGGTCAAGAAAGGTTTGGGGGTTGCAGAAGGGAGGGGAAGAGCAACTGAGGGCAAGGGGATCTCTTCATCCCCGGTGGGGGGGGTGGGGGAGCCAGGCAGGAAGCAGGTGGGGCTGCTGATTCCAGGTGGTCCCTGGGGCCAGGCCGCCCGCTCCCTCAACCACACATGTGGCCCATGTTCCCAGGAAAGTCCTTTCCTAGCTCTCAGGGGGAGAATGAGACCTTCCTTCAGCCTGTGGGAACTGGTTGATGGCCAGTAGCCCCAGCAACCCCCCTTCATTGTCTCTTGCTGTTCCTCCTTCTACCCACCTGAACCCTCCCCACAGAGCATCCATAATCCCCAAGCACGCTGAGCTCACACTTGCTGAAAGCCATCATCTCTTCTGCGAAAACGAGATCTCACTTGTCAGGCTTGCTTTAGGCAGTGGTTTCTCCCACCCCTGGTGCATCACCTGACCCCACCTGGAGGGGTTCGAGAACTATCTCCACCTAACCCCAAGCCAAGGAAGCAGGCCCGCCCACTAGCATTCGAGGAGAAAAGAGTGGGACCTCTCTCAGTTTCTTACATATCTTTTTAATATTTTTATTGTTTATGAGTGACGTACAAGACATATTACTACAAGTAGTCCACAAATATAGCTCAATAGTAAAACACACACATTAGGGAAAGCACTAACCATGATTACCTATTTCTACGGTAGGGGTGCAAGCAAGCAGCTCTGGAGAGTGCTGACAGTGAGGGGTCGGGTTTATGATAAATAATTACGGGGAGCACCGGGGGCCATGGAGGGCTCACATCCTGCCCAAGAGTGAGAAGATGCTACTTAGCCCGTTGCCATGCCAGGATGGAGGCCTAGGGCTGCCAGATGTTCTGAATTCTAAAGAGAATGCACATGTTTTAATTTTTCTATGAGATCTCCCAATTTTTAAATATTGGCACCTCATGAAATAGTAACACAGAAGAAGCTCTGGCATGAAATCAATCCAAGAGCAGGCCACACGGCCTTGGTGCCTAGAACGTGGTTTCTATGTGCCACACACTCCTTACCTCCAGGAGTTCATCTAATCTCTACGACAGCCCGGGGATGGTGAGGCAGGCAGCACTTCCTTTCTCTTTTACTGATGAGGCTCAAGGACATGAGGGGATTCATCCAAGGTCTGAGAGAACAGAGTCTCCAGATGATGAAACCCTGGCTGCTTTGGGTAATGTGGCCTTTCGGTGGTTGGCTCCGTGGAAGTGAACGCTACCTTGAACTGGGGACATTCTAACGGTGGGACAGAGTCGGGTTCTCTGTGTGGCACTCAATGCGCAAAAGAGCTCTTCGGCTTCCAAACTACAGGTAAACCACTACCAGAGAAGGCGATGGGCTGGGGCAGGGGGCTAACTATTCTCGTGATTTCTAGGGTCACCATGGGGCAGGGGCCAAGCCAAAAAGGGAGAGATGTGTTAATGGCATCACGAGACAAAATCGGCACGAGGGCAGTGGGGGCCAACGTCTACATCGGGTCAGCTTACAGATACAGAAGAACACTAATATTTACCAGGTATCTACCAGTCAGAATTTGTTCTATACCTGTAGCTAGGTTATTCCATTTACTATTCACTTTGTCAGTTGGTGTTTTTAGTAACCCTGTCATAAGGATAAGGAAACTGAGGCACAGTGACATGTCAAAAGTCACAGAGCCAGTGCGCTGTTTTGATCCAGACACTCCAAAGCCAAAGCCCAGGTTTCCACCTCTATTAAACATCGCCTCTCTCATGCACCGATATCATCAGAATGGGCCACTGGGACTCCCCGGGCCTCCATCCCACCTTTCATTATGCATGGATGGATGGGGGAATTCTAGAAAAATGCATGTGTGGGCCAAGTCCATGAGGCAATGCAAACAGGTCTGTGTCTCTTTCATTAGATCAGGGAAACTTCTCAACGACAGATGTCAAGTGTATTTTAATTTCCAATACCTCCTCGTTCCCAGGGGCAGAGGACAGAACTCATAACTTGGGCTGTTACTGAGGTCTGGCTCACAGAAAGGACAGTGGCTGCTCTTCAGTGACTCATTTCTCTTTTCATTCTTTTTGCCAATGGTGATGGTGGCTATAGACAAGTGGAGAAGAGAATTTCCTGCTCTCAAATTTTTTATAGAAGCATTATCCAACAGGACTTTCCACGATGGTGAAAATGTTCTGCATCTGTGCTGCCCAATATGCTAATCACCAGACATGTGTGGCTACCTAAGCAGCTGAGGAACTGAATTTTTAATTACAATGGAAACTGGATTTAAGAAGCTGCATCCAGCTAGGGGCTACCATATAGGACAGCACAGCCTCTAGAGGGCGTGGTGAGAAATTGGGGGGACCGGCATATAGGTTCTGTCTTCCCCCTGATGACTAAGAGTCTTCTATTCTAGAGGCTCTGAAAAGGCTTGGGAAGGTGGAAAGTAGGTTGGGCTCTGCCATAGACAGGGCCCACCCCTTGGCTCTTGGGAGCTGAATGGCTCCCATGAAAAATCCTAGTGGGGAACAGTATTTTGGGGGCAGGTTCTTGTTTCGTACCAAATCAGATTATAACACTGTGCCATCTTTGAACATTTTAATATTCGTGGGCTCCATTCCCTACTCTTTCCAACGGGGACCCAGGTTCTATAATCTAAAGGCCAAGTCTACCCATACTGCCCTTGCCTGAGCCTGTGGCAAGGTTAGAGGAAGGAGGCCAAAACTACCTTTTCCTCCTCCACCTAAAACTTGGGCTCCTTCTAGGGTTTTGCTTCCAGAAGCAGACCTCTGAGTTCTGAAATGATGTCTGTGAGATCGAATGGCAGAGGCATCGAAGGATCATCCTTTTCCCAATACGGCCGACATTCCGGCTTCTGATCCACAGGCAGAGTTCGGGCAATCCGGGACTGGCACCTGGAAGAGTAGGAAGAGGCAATTAATCCATGGGAAGAAACTCCTGGAGGACCCCGGTTCTCGGGCAGTTTGGGACGACACGGCCGAATGCTCCAAAGACTGTCCTCCCGGGGGTTGGTTCTGACATGAAAGAATGAGTTCACCGAGCAGGACGCAGGTGTTCAGAGGGCGGAGGAACCGTTCTTGGCGGCGCTGGAACTTCTTTTTCTTTTTTCAATTCCCAGCTTTGTATTATCTCTAGTGGCTTCACAGAAGCCAATCACTGGGGAAATTCAGTTACTCTGCCTTTAAAATGGTGAATTATTTTTTCATTATCTCAACTGTTATTTAAAGTGTGTGATTAAGCCATTATCAGATTTAAATGTTTGTGGGATTTCGATGTATTACTAGATTACTGGGAAAGATTAAATTGAATTTACTGCATTAAAACGTCCAAGAATAGATTAAACAATATTACGGGCCGGGATTGACTTTGGAGATTCTAGAGATTTACAAGTGTCCCAGCTTGCTGTGCTCAGAAAAAGGCACTCCAAGGAGAGACGGATTTATAAGGATATATGCAAATAGAGGTTAATAATCATTTCCACTGATGAATAGGTGAGGAAAACTTCCACAAAATTAAATTAAAAGGCTAGCAAGAGTTACTCCCTAAGGAAAACACTTAAATCACGGTTTTTATTAAATGGATTATTCATCAATAGTAGAGAAATTAATTATCATATGCGACTAAATTATAGCCTTGTAGGAAAAAAGTTGGGGCAGCATCATCCCCACCCTGGCAGGCATCTACCTCTCAGAGAGACCAGCTTATTTAAAATTGGTCTGGGAAAGCTCAGTGGCTTTAGCTTTATTCGTCTGAAACACGAGGATCAGAGAGAATGAAACACAAGTTGCAATAAGAAAGGAACAATTTCCCTGCCCTCTCGGAGTGCACAGTGGCGGAAGCACATGGACCCGAAAGAAGTACTGTGAGTACACTCGGAAGAGATGTGTGGGTCCATCCCCACTCCCACCTTCTCCGCGTTGTTCTCAAAATCAATTAAAACGTGGTCATTCCCAAGATTTGCCCTCTGTGGAGGACTAACTATGAAGACATCAAAGGATGGAATATCCCGGCCCTATTTCCAAGCCTGATGGTAGAGAAGGTTCCTAACTGAAAGACATCGTCTTCTCTGGGGAATTATTAATGGTGAGGGGATCCCCATGGGAAAACATACTTCAACTTTATACCTATTTGCTCGTGTGGTTAATTGCTCTACCGGCATCCTATGCACTCAATCCGTCGTACATTACACATAACATTCCAATATATCTTCAGCTCTCCGCATCAGACCCTGATAATAGCGTCTGTTAACATGCACTAAGTACTATTATGTAGCACATCACTTCATAAATAATAAGATTAGCTGACCTCAGGGCCCCAAGAAGAGTAATGTGTTTAAATGTTCTCATTATTTATTTAAAACAAGAATTAAAGCAACAGAAGCTGCTTTTGACAATCCTCTTAGCATAAATATTAAACTGTTTGCACTGATAAGCCCCACATAGCGCCGAAGAACAGAGGGTGCGTTCTGCAGACTACTTGGTGATAGGTGTTTGAGACGGTGCCGCTCGCTGTCGCGGTTCTGATGGTGTCTCTGTAGTTCTAGAAACAGTCTCTAAATCACATGAAAGGGATGCAGGGAAATTAATATTCAGAGGGAGCTGCAACTAATTACAAAGGAACTCAGCAAAGCTTTTTAAATTGTGCTCTCTCTCTCTCTCTCTCTGCTTTGGAATCACAGAGCAAGGCTCAATTTACTAGGTAGGGGAAGTTATTCCAAATTGAGCATCTCAACCTCTCAGCGGATAAATTATCTGCGCACACATTATCCTGGCTGGCAGATTAAGGGCCTATGATAAGTGTCGATCCACCTAGAATATCATAAGGTTTGTAAAAAGTCAATAGAGATGCTTTTTCACCTGTCAAATGGGTTTGCCCCCTCGCTTTGAGAAAGTACTAAAAATATTAAAGCCTGCTGTAGAGGTTTGCTTATGCCACGCAGTAGACGCTTCCCCCAGCTTTTTGTCTGGGTGAAGCTGCTCTGTGATTTTCTGCCGCCGAAGAAAGGCCTGGCTGGTGTGGAAACGACCTCCTTTCCATGGGGGCCCCCCCTGAGAGGCTAGGAGCTGGCTACACTCACAGGCTCCCCCTGGGCCGGAGGTAGAACCTGCGATGGGGTCCCTTCCCGGGTCTTAATTCAGAGCTCTCAAGGTCATTTTCAAACTTCTTTTAATGCTCAGTGTTCCTTGCCGATTTCCAAAAGGCAGCGAGTGATGGGGCCCCAGCAGAGGGCTTGTCGCTGGAGGTGATGCTTTCCCGATGGGAGGGGACACCCCTCACCCCACCTCCATCTACGGTCTAGTCCTGCATCGTGCCAGACTGCGAACTGAAAGAGAAGGGACTGAGGATGGCTCCGAGGCATTGCATCTTTTCAGTTTTCATTCCTCTTGCTCGATTCATTCATACTGCCTCCTTTTGGCTCATCTCCTACGACGGGGCAGGACACCCCATGCAGGTTTCTCACCCTTGCTGAGCCTCAATTTCCTGTCGAGTAGGAGTGATGATGATGATGAGGAGGAGGAGGATGGTAATAACAGTACTGACTTATGGGGTTATTGTGAAGGATAAATGAATTAATACACGCAGAGTGCTTAGAACACTGCCTGGTGCGTAGGAAGCACTCAGCAGATATTATGGATTATGATCGCTGCTGTTGCTTCTACCATGAGGACTGGTGATGGACAAATGATGACGCCGAGAACAGGGCTGCCTGTCCCTGTGGCAACGCCCTCCTTTCACACTAACTGAGTGGGCGGCCCCCGGCCAGGCTCTCTTCTAGGAGAAGCTCTGGAGATACGAAAGCGGCTCTTTCTGGCTTGAATCAAACTGAGCCCGTGGTTGAACCCTATCACCATGTGACACGCCAGGACGCTGCGGCTTATGTGTTCAAGCTGCTACAACCTCCCGGTGACAGGCTAAAATGCTCTGATTCAGAACAACTCCACAGTTGCTCCTGAAGACCTAGAATTAATAAAACGTGCTGTCATCGTACTTTCTAAGGGGTGGCTCTTCCAGACTGATTTGGCATATACAGGGAAGAAAGTCAGATTGTTTCTTAGCACGCAGAGTCTATAGTTCCTTGCAAAATAAGTTCTCTTAGGACCCTAACTTCTCTTAGGAAATGTGTTAGGAATGTGGACCACAGTGCACATCTGCAGTCTGCATCTATCCCTACCTTCCCCATCAAGAGATTATAATTTTCCCATAGGGAATCCATCCCCTCTCCATGGTTGGCCATGTGGTTTGGGTGGGATTGGCTCCACCTCTACAGCCAGAGGAGAGCCTTGACCAGCTCAGGCTAACAAGCATATTGCACTCTCCCAGCCATAGGGAAGAGGCTTAGGGGGAGGCACATGTCCCAGTCTAGGGCAAGAGGGAGAGACTAAACCAGAGGACTGGTGTAGGGGCTGCAAGAAAAGCCTTTCTTATCTCTGTGAACTATCAAGATGCACCATCTGGGACTGCCACAGTCATTTTGCTAGGTGCAGCAAGGGGCTGGGTTCTGAGCAGTGTCATTCATAGCTAGATCAAGCCTCACCTGGAAGCCAGTTATGTTCAGAATTTTTTAGTTTCATGAGCCATGATTCAGTTAGGTTTTCCTGTAACTTGCAACTAAAGAGTCCTGGCTGACATGCTGGCCATGCTCCCTACCTGTGAGTTATTTCCCCCCTTTTACTACAACATCCGTTGCCACAGACCTGCCTGCCAAAGGGATGTGAACTTGCCTGCCTCCAAACTGAGATGCCGCTGCTGACACAGTATAGTGTGTGCAGAGATCATCCGAGTAAGGAAAGCAGGAAAACACTGGCTTTTGCTTTTGTTTTATTTTTTTTAATTTTTAAAAAATTTTACTTATTTATTCATGAGAGAGAGAGAGAGAGAGAGAGAGAGAGAGAGAAAATGAGAGAGAGAGGCAGAGGGAGAAGCAGGCTCCATGCAGGGAGCCCGACGTGGGACCCGATCCCGGGTCTCCAGGATCACGCCCTGGGCTGAAGGTGGCGCTAAACCTCTGGGCCACCAGGACTGCCCTTGCTTTTAGTTTAAATGGTATTTCTATTTGGGACAAACTTCTATCCAAAAAACAAGGGTGTGCTGGTGTCATCCAAATAGTTCTTTGCATGCAAATAAGCTGGTTTCTATGACCACAGCTGGATGACTTTTCTCAAGACAGTTGAAAACAGTTTCCCTAAACTCAGTGTTCCCAGGGAGAGTAGGTCATTCTGGACCCACCTAAACAGTAAGAAAGTCATCTTGTCCTCTCTATTCCCATCGTAAAGCAAATCCTATTTTTCATGCTTCTTTAGTTAGCAAATAAATGTGGATCTAACCCGAAACCCCTGCCCCTTTCATGAAATATTACAAAGGGAGCAAAAGAAAATAATATACATGTCATCTCTCTCCCTTCCAAATTCAGATTATTTTGATACCAAGGACTCTCTATGAGCCACCCCAAACTCTCACTATGAAGGAATGGTTCTCCCTGAATGGCCTGGTGACACAATACAAAGCAACTGAAAGGTGTCCTACTGGCTGGAGCGGCTGGTAGCAGGCTGCCCAGAGGTCCCCTTCTCTCCCTGCAGGTGTAACTCATCCTGGGCCTCAGAGCCAGATTTCCCCTAGGGCCACACTTGCATCTGGGTGATCGGGGTGGCAGCAACATTAGTGAACACTGGTCGCCGTGCTAAAATTAACCACTTTAGCTAAAGTGTGTGTTAATTATGGGTATGCAAGCAGTCAATAAAAGGTTAATGCAAAAGTCAAAGGATACATTTCTTCCCTTATTGCGCCACTTCACAGACTAAATGACTAACATTATACTCTGTGTTTTTAATCAATAGGTTTTACAGTAATGTGCTGGCCATTGATTTTAAGAAAACATATATGGTCTTCCTCCTTG